CCCCCCCCCCCCCCCCGTGGGTTCAACTCCCCCCTCGGACGCCTTTGGGACACCTCTCGGGCATCTCTTATGGCATCCACTTTGGCTTAACTCCTCCGGGATACGGTGCAACAGATTCAACAAGCTCACATGTTCATGACATCGATATCGATAGAAGAAACCAAACAAATCATGCAAGCAGCTTTGTTTTGCCTCTGGGACACCTCTTGGGCACCTCTTATGGCATCCACACTGCAGTGGAGGTTTTGGGATACGGTGCAACAGATTCAACAAGCTCACAGGTTCGTGAACACATCGGATGCATCGAACAATGTGGCAAAGTCCAGCCACGCTTCCTTAATTATCGGGGACTTCAATTCTAAGGTTGGCTGTGTCATTGCTGTTTGTGTGTCTTACATGTTCACAACGTTTTACCTCATGAGCATTTGCCTCACTCCGCTTGATGTCCCACAAGTCCGGATGCACCCCTGCTAGCTTTCGTCACCTACCCTCGGCCTCAAGTATAGTTTTTCATGCTCCTTCAAATGCATTTCTTTAAATTTACACTGTGTCTCCTTTTCGTCCTGTCCCATTAGCCTTTCCCCTATTCCCTTTTATCACGCCTTGACATGTCCCTACCTTTTAACGTTCTCCCACCCACGTTCACTGAGGCGTCCCTCCACCAACTACATCCCAGACTTCTTCTACACTCCATGGACTAGCTCCTCCCGCTCCACATCCAGACACCTCTATTGGTCATCGCCGTCATCGCGGACCTCTACATGCTCATCTATGGCGACCTACTGTGGACCGTGCGCGCTTTTCATTTCCCCGTCAACACCACCATGCTTCCATGATCTTTACGCGCGGTTTCCACCTGGCCACTTTTGCACATTTCCCAAGCTACAAAAGGGAACTATATCCCGCTCCTCCACTGACGTTCACTGTTTCAATCTTTTCATACAAAATTTCAATGTCATCATTTCTTTCTAATGCCTCACAGGATGAGTTTTGACTGTGTTTGCGCCGGCAAACGCCCTTGCAGCGGCGCCAGCGCCCAGCTGTCACCAACATCTGGCAGCAGCGCCCTGCATTTGAGGAAAACATCCGGCCAAGTGTATCCAAAGTTCGCCGAAACAAGTGGGAGACAAGTGCAGCAAGAAGGAACGGTTTGAGCCATTGTTTGACAGCTCACAGAGATTACTTCATCGCGCGCAAACTGTTTGGGGTCTACGCTGGTGTACTTGTTGTGAGTCTTTCCATGGCCTTGATGTTCAAGCTTGGTTAACAACAAGGTGGTCGGAATTAACAACCGCTTCCTGGTGCAACCTATGTTTTTCTATTTTTGTGTTGCCCCTTTGTGGGACAAACAGCGAAGGTGGCCCCACCTGGACTGCGGTCGCAGTGGTGGGAATAGGAAAATCGTACGACGTGGAATGTGTTGATGTGAATGCTTCAATTTGTGTAAGCATTTTGATAATTTTGGTTCAAAGTTCAAACCCCTGCAGTTGCGACCGCGCAGATGTAGGATCCAAGTTGACAGGAACACTTGTTTTCGCACCTTTGACCACACAGGTGTCCCACAGTGATGGGTCAGGATAACATGTATAATCTGATGTAACATGATATGCATTGTATAGACTTCTTTCCGCGCAGCATATGTCATTGAACCGGAAAAATGGTTGAGTTTGTTGGTCAAAACCACAAGACAGATGTCATGCCCATGGCTGTGGCTGCGTCGCTGTTTGCTTACAAACCAATGGCACCAGTGTATGACAATGGCACTAGAACCTGTTTCTGTGCTCTTGGTGCCCGTCCCTGGTTTCCAAATGCGTCTGAGGGCTTGCAGTTGCAATGTGAACCTTATTTGACCGAGCGCCGTGGAAATGCTTGCGCTAGGAGTGGAAGAAGCTTGTCAGCACCACGGCAATCCGAATCAGGGTGGAACACCCCCATGAATTCTCCCCGCCCTGCTCCTTCGCCGGTCCCCAGCTTGCAGCTGCCGATGGGTCAAGAGGTGCATTGGCAGCGAGGGAGGTGTAGCACATCTCTTTCTCCAACGGCGTCGGCTCGTGTATATTGCGGGCATGGTTTGATTCCTGAGGGGCCAGCCATCCCTCCTCAACGCACATCATCGTTGAATCCATCGCTGAGTCGGTTTCCCTTCAATGCTTTGAGTTCGATGGCGAGGGATGCCAATGCAGGAATTGGGGATCCTGCGCCTGCGAGCATGAAGTTTCTATCTCGGGAACCTCTCATGAAGTCGGCAGGCGAACTTCGAGAGCCAACCCGAGTAAAGGAACATAAAATGGCAGAAAGACAGTTGAGACAAGGAAATCACCCGGTGACGGAGAATCAGGGACATCACGTACTAGACCCATCGTCAGACTACGTCATTTATGCCCAAAAAGTGCCAAAAAAAGATGCTGGGGCAGGTTTCCAGGCAGGAGACATGGGCACGGCAGATGCAAGTCCAAAGAATAGTGTGTGGAAACGGTATTTTGCTCAAGGAGAGGCGATGCTTGAAGAAGTGCTTCCTCACAGTCATGCCCCAGGAAGTGCCTTGGACTCTTTGCCAATCACTGCTCCCAGCTCAGCACGACATGAGCACGCGTTTGAGAATTCCAAGGAGGAGACAGAGAAAGAGAAAACAGCACCGGCGCGGGCCATTCCAGAATCTGAAAGTTCGGAGGGCATCAAGAGACAAGATTTGACAAATGTGCCAGGTGGTCTTCGAACTGCAGTTGAAAGATTTGGCATGCCCTCGCCAGCACATGGCGAAAACTTCTGTGCTGCAAAGACAGCATCGCAAACAGACTCCCAAGAGGGGAGTGAGGTTTTCACGGCCGGATGCCCACCTTCGACCCTAATTCGCACTGAAAGATCATCCAACAGCTCTGGGACCACGGAGTTCAAGCATCAAAGCCAAAGCGAGCTGAAAGAGTTGAACACTTCGATTTCAATCCAGGGCCGCGCGTCTGTTGATGGTGCCTTCGTGCCGGACCCTGACCAAGTCAAGGCCATCGAAGTATCTGCTGCCAACGTGTCTGCAGCTGCACAGAGCATCTCGTTGAAACTTTTGCATGAACTTCGCTCCTTCCGCCAACCTCCTGCCGTCATTCGCCAAGTCGTGGAAGCTGCTTTGAGTTTGTTTGGTGTGAAGGCTGCATGGTCCACAGGACGACGGCATTTGGACTCCCACTTTCTTCAAAAGCTGAAGTCTTTTACACCTCTAGAAGCTGCCAAGTGTCCATCAGCTCAAGTGCACCAGTTTTTTGAAAACTTAGATGCTCCAGCATTCAGTGATCAATCATTGCTGAATAAATGTCGAGGAGCAGCACCACTGGCTCAGTGGTGCTTCGCAGCTGCAGCTTTGCTGCTTCATTTGAAGGTGTCAGATACTTCCAACAAGCTGAGTAATCGAACCGGGATATTCCAAGTTCACAAGGCACTTGGTCTTGACCAAGCGCAGAGGCACAAAGCGAACAAAGCAAGCAAAACATCTATCGTTCCAGACTTGGGAGGCCTTTTCGTCAAGCCCGCCGTGTGGGAGTTAAGCATTGATGAGCTGCAGCATGTCGAGGATTTGGTGATTGGTCGAGAGGGTGTTGGCCAGGTCACCTTTCCTGGACAGACGGACTGCCGTGGCCTCATCGAAAGCTTGTCACAGATTCTGTCAATCCTTCCTGGTGAAATTGTTCTCTACCCGGATGCAACTTTGAAGCCACCAATCGGAGAAGGCTTGAACAAGGCTGCCAGTGTGGTGCTCTTCGGCTGCATGCCCAAATGCCAAGCGCGGCTATTGGATGCTAAGGCCCAGCAGCGGTACAAACAAAGAGTTGCACAGATGACCGAGGAGAAAGGTGCAATTTTCGAGGATTATGACCCAAATGACGGAACCTGGAAGTTTCGCGTGCCCCACTTTTGACTTCGACCGTGCCATTCAAAAAGAAGCGATTGAAAGACCAAGAGTTCAGTCTGCTGAATTTAAAAGCATTTCCGTATTTTTCGCAGTCTCTTCAGTGCAAGACAAAATCAGGATCAGGACATCCGAGTCTTCCGCCCTTGGTTTGGAGAAGCAACACCGATTTTGATATACTTATATATTATATATTCTATATACAACATATGAGTTCCCACTGCAGCAGGTTGGTCATGAAGAAACATATCATGACAGTACAGCTGGCGAGGCCCATACAAGTTTGCCAGTAAGAAGGTGTTGCACACCTGACAACAATAAACAGCAATGTGCGATGAGTCGGGGTATCGAATTGAAGAGCTTCGACCACGAAGGACGACGCAGGCGTCTTCATGTGAGGTTCCCTTCAAAAACGCATGTGTTCTAACTCGAGAGCCATTTGATTCGTGCAGGTCAAGTAGCGTCGAACTGAGCGGGTCTGCAGAATGTGTGAGGCATGGGGCGTTGAGGCTTTAGAGTCCAGGACGCTACTAGGGTCTCCTGGCCTTACTAGTAACAAGAAGCTACTAGGGGCTCCTGGCATCGCTACTAGGAACAAGGACGCTACTAGGAACTCCTCGCATCGCTATATACTAGGAGCAAGGACTAATTGCGTCGTTGCTGAGCCAGGCAGAAGTTGGATCTTCTGCGCCGCCAGTCCTCTGAGGCTTTTGGGTCCATGGTTGCCATGGTTGAGCTGCTTTAAAAGCGCCCGTGAGTCTTGGGGGCAGAATACCATATGTTGGAAACATGACTTGCCAACCTGGCAATCAATATCAAACATTATGTGACTGCGAGTAGCTCGCCTGGTTAGACACACTCACTAGATATCGAGCAAAGAAATGTGCGCACGAAGATTGTACTTCATTGCAGCATTGCGGCAAAGCCATGAAACCACCCCTGTTTTTTCTCGGAGCTCCTTCAATTTCCCGTACGATGTCAGTCTTTGTTAGTACGTGTTAGTACCCCCTTGTCAGACTACTAGGATCTCCCAGAAAACTGGGACCTGACTGCAACGCAGTAAGACTTGATGAACCCGTCTAATGTTAGAGAGAGTGCATCACATGAAACAAAACATTCACCTACCTTTATACATATACCTGTAGTCCTGAACAAAACGTCTAAAGAAGCCTCAATAACGAGGACAGAGTGAACACATCAAACACATGAACCAAAAAACATTTGAAGGATAAGCAACCACTATGATACGCATAGGCCAGAAGCGAGTGATGCCACTATGACTTTGTGAGCCGCGAGTGTCTTTGTCTTCTTTTTGGTTGTTTCTTTAGTTTCTTTTGATGTCTACCTACTGTATTTTTGTTTTGCCCTTCTCTCCCGCCACTTCTTGTTGGCGGTGTGGATCTCATAGGCACGGCAGCCCTCCGAAGACGGACGGAGACTTGAGACGTAACTAGCTACTGCTGGTTCAAGATCAACCTGTGCCTACTCGGTGTGCGAATAGTTTGAGGTTTGAGAAGCATATGTTTCAATCCCCATTCATGCATCGTTTTGTGTGTTTATGATGCCTGGCCTGAGCCATTGCAGGGTTCCCTTGTCTTTGTAGACGATTCAGCAAGACACGCGAAGCACACAGTCTTTGGCTTCAGCCACGCCAGGAGGACAAGAGAAAGACACAGGGTGAAGGTGTGTGTGTGTGTGTCCTTGTGCAGGCCTGGCTATGTGTTTTGTCCAGGCTTGGTCTGTGTCCATGCCCCACCTTGCCCGGGCTGGTCCAGGTCTGTGTATCCTGCTTGTCTGCGTTGCTGGCCCTGCCATCATTGAGTAGGGCACGCCAGCCATAGATACAAGAAGCAAACACATTTTCCAGAGCAAAACAAGGCAAAGAAAAGCAACAGTAATGCAAACAAAAAGCAAAAGCATGTAGCTTTGCGTGTTTGTTGCGTTTTTGCACTTTTGTGTCCTTTCTTGTCGCTTTATTTTCACATTTTGTTCGCATTTGTTTTTCTTTTTCCCGAACGCGTAGCGAAGGGTTCCCGTTTATAGTTGGGGGTGTGGGGGTTGGACATGTGTTTGCATGGCCTGCGTCGTGTCGTCGTCTGTCGTCGTTTGTCGTCGTCTGTCGTCGTCTCTCGTCGTCTCTCGTCGTCGTCGCGTCTCAAATTTGCTGCCATTGGGGGAAGCTTTTGCAAGTGACTTTGCATGGACGTGTCAGGTGTCAGTGTGCGCCGCTATTCCATTGTGATTTGCATGACCAGGACGTGTCGCGCGAGAAACGTGAGGCGTTTCGCTGCACAGGCGCAGCGTTTTGTGAGATCGGCAGATTGCTGCGCAGTTCCATTGGGATTAGCGTTTGGAGAGCCGTGTTTTTGAGGTGTTGGCTGTGGCCGTGCCATTGGGATTTGCGTTACAGGGTGTGGCATCGAAGTGCTTTTTTCGTGACAAGTCTCAGCTGAAATGGCGATTTTGGTGGATGGGAGTGTGCTCAGAACGGGTCGAAATCATTCCAAACGTGTGGTGTGGTGCAAATTTTGTTGAAGCTCACATGAGATGATATTGTCACTTTTCGTGGCAGGCGCAGGACTTTGTGCGGGTTTGGAGGCGTGGAAGTGCGATTCTCGTGGCAGGCGCAGGGAATCGTGAGGTTGCGAGGTGTGACGGAGGTGACATGTCGTGGCAGGTGCAGGACTTTGTGCGCGTTAGACGCGTGGACGCGGAAAGATTCGTGGCAGGCGCAGGGAATCGTGAGTTTGTGAGTTGTGGTAGAGGGGAATGTCGCTGTCACATTGGGATTGGCGTGTGAGCGGATGTTGTTTGGAGGGGCTGGAGTCGCGAAACTGCTTGGCAGGACTGCGTGATGTGTGTGTGCTCCGATGGGTGTTTCCGCTTGACTTTTGGAGGAAGTCTCGTACGAAACGCTCGTTTTGCAGACTTTGACATGTGAGTTTGTGAGGAAGTCTCGACCGAAACGCTCGTTTTGGAGACTTGACGCGCAACCCTCTGCGGAGATCGTGCGTGTCGAGTGTGCCAAATGCAGGCGAGAGTGCGATTTGTCCCATGCGCGCAACCCTCTGCGAAGATCGTGCGTGTCGAGCGCGCGAAATGCAGGCGAGAGTGCGATTTGTCCCATGCGCGCGCAACCCTCTGCGGAGATCGTGCGTGTCGAGCGCGCGAAATGCAGGCGAGAGTGCGATTTGTCCGGTGCCCGCGCAACCCTCTGCGGAGATCGTGCGCATCGAGCGCGCGAAATGCAGGCGAGCACTGGCGACTTTGTAGTACAACTTTAGTACGCGGGGTATCTAGGGAGCTGCAAGATGAGAACTGGTGACTTGGTAGATCTGTGGAGCTGGAAGCTGAGAACTGGCGACTGGCGACTTTGTAGTACAACTTTAGTAAGCGGAGCAATCTGTGGAGCTGGAAGCTGAGAACTGGCGACTTTGTAGTACAACTTGAGTACGCGGAGCAATCTGTGGAGCTGGAAGCTGAGAACTGGCGACCTTGTAGTACAACTGTAGTACGTGGAGTATCTGGGGAGCTGGAAGCTGAGAACTGGCGACCTTGTAGTACAACTTTAGTACGCGGAGTATTTGGGGAGCTGGAAGAGAGTCCCACAAGAGTGTCCCACAAGAGTGTCCCACAGAGTGTCCCACAAGAGTGTCCCACAAGAGTTTCCTACAAGAGTGACCCACAAGAGTGTCCTACAAGAGTGTCCCACAAGAGTGTCCCACGAGAGTGTCCCATAAGAGTGTCCCACAAGAGTGTCCCACAAGAGTGTCCCACAAGAGTTTCCTACAAGAGTGTCACACAACAGTGTCCCACAAGAGTGTCCCACAAGAGTGTCCTACAAGAGTGTCCTACAAGAGTGTCCCACAAGAGTGTCCCACAAGAGTGTCCCACAAGAGTGTCCAAGAGTGTCCTACAAGACTGTCCCACAAGAGTGTTCTACAAGAGTGCCCCACAAGAGTTTCCTACAAGAGTGACCCACAAGAGTGTCCCACAAGAGTGTCCTATAAGAGTGTCCCACAAGAGTGCCCCACAAGAGTGTCCCACAAGAGTTTCTTACAAGAGTGTCCTACAAGAGTGTCCCACAAGAGTGTCCCGCAACAGTGTCGCTCAAGAGTGTCTCACAAGAGTGTCCCTTAAGAGTGTCCGACAAGAGTATCCCACAAGAGTGTCCTACAAGAGTGTCCCACAAGAGTGTCCCACAAGAGTGTCCTAGAAGAGTGTCCCACAAGAGTTTCCTACAAGAGTGTCCCACAAGAGTGTCCTGCAAGTGACCCAGAAGAGTGTCCCACAAGAGTGTCTCACAAGAGTGTCCCACAAGAGCGTCCTACAAGAGTGTCCCACAAGAGTGTCCTACAAGAGTGTCCCACAAGAGTGTTCCACAAGAGTGTCCTATAAGAGTGTCCCACAAGAGTGTCCCGCAAGAGTGTCCTACAAGAGTGTCCCACAGGAGTTTCCTACAAGAGTGACCCACAAGAGTGTCCTACAAGAGTGTCCTACAAGAGTGTCCCAGAAGAGTGTCCCACAAGAGTGTCCTACAAGAGTGTTCTGCAAGTGACCCACACAAGTGTAGAAGAGTGTCTCACAAGAGTGTCCCACAAGAGGGTCCTACAAGAGTGTCCCACAAGAGTGTCCTACAAGAGTGTCCCACAAGAGTGTTCCACCAGAGTGCCCTATAAGAGTGTCCCACAAGAGTGTCCTACAGGAGTGTCCCACAAGAGTTTCCTACAAGAGTGACCCACAAGAGTGTCCTACAAGAGTGTTCCAAAAGAGTGTCCCACAAGAGTGTCCTACAAGAGTGTCCCACAAGAGTGTCCTACAAGACTGTCCCACAACAGTGTCCTGCTAGAGCGTCCTACAAGAGTGTCGTATAAGAGTGTCCCACAAGAGTGTCCTGCAAGTGTCCCACAAGAGTGTTCTACAAGAGTGTCTCACAAGAGTGTCCCACAAGAGTGTCCTACAAGAGTGTCCCACAAGAGTGTCCTACAAGAGTGTCCCACAAGAGTGTCCCACAAGAGTGTCCTATAAGAGTGTCCCACCAGAGTGTCCTACGAGAGTGTCCCACAAGAGTTTCCTACAAGAGTGACCCACAAGAGTTTCCTACAAGAGTGACCCACAAGAGCGTGCTACAAGAGTGTCCTACAGAGTGTCCCGCAAGAGTGTCCTACAAGAGTGTCATTTGGACATATTAGTTTTTCGAACGTGTTTGCATTCGGGTTCGTAGGTTCCATCTTGTTTATTCCCCAGATAGCGAAGCTATGGGGTTCTTACTTCAAATTGCAATGAGTTGCCCGTGCGCGCTTTCGAGACAGGTTGCTGGTGCTGGTGCTGGGTGCCGGTGCTGGTGCTGGTGCTGTGAGCTGGCTGTGCACGTGGTGGGGACAGGTTGCTGGTGCTGGTGCTGGGTGCCGGTGCTGGTGCTGGTGCTGTGAGCTGGCTGCGCACGTGGTGGAGACAGGTTGCGTGCTGGTGCTGGGTGCTGGGCGCCGGTGCTGGTGCTGTGAGCTGGCTGTGCGCGTGGTGGAGACAGGTTGCCGGTGCTGGTGCTGGTGCCGGGCGCCGGTGGTGCTGGGTGCCAGGCGGGCGGTGGTGATGGGCGCCGGGCGCCGGTGCTGGTGCTGTGAGCTGGCTGTACGTGGTGGAGAAAGGTTGGTGGTGCTGATGCCGGCGCTGGGCGCCAGTGCTGGTGCCGGTGCTGTGAGCTGGCTGTGCACATGTATTGACACTCTTCAAGTCAATAGTGGCGCTGGATACTGCTTGGCCTTGGCCAATGACACTTACGGGCTTTGCTGTTTGCGCGCGTACTTGTGTGTGCATCAACTTATACGCGCAAGATCATACGTTGTTATTCCCCCAATAGGGATAGCTATGGCGTTCTTGCTGCAAATAAGAATGAGCTGGCTGCGCGCGCCTTTGAAAGGGTGTCGGTGCTGGTGCTGTGAGCTGGCTGAGCGCGCGTTTAAGACGGGCGGCGGCGCTGGTCGGGTGCTGGCGCCGCTGCCGGTGTTGTCAGCTGGCAAAGCGCGCCGGTGCTGGTGTCAGCTGGTTGTGCGCGCTGTGGAGGTGCCGTAAGCTGGCTGTGCAGGCTGCGTACATTCTTGTTCCAGCCAGTCGCGTGTCAACAGGTCGTGGGATTCTGCCTAGCTATCTGGGTCTATGCTGGTGTAATTTATGTTTTTTTCCTAGGAGCGTACGGCGAATATTGCTGACGGGTAAAAGTTCTCACAAGTGCAGAAGTTGCACTAGGCAAAAAGAACAAAAAAGAGGCCAAGCAAATGCAAACACAGTTCCTCTGCTGTTTTTCCGCTTTTGTCACACAAAATTGATAATTGGTCATGTATGGCTGCCATTGCTCAACGCAACCGCCTTGTCCCGTGCTTGGCGGTGCCCTTTTTTTCTTCACCGCTTTGCTCTATTTTTGTTTTTCCTCCTCCTTGTGTGGCTATAAAATGCTATAAAAAAGCAGTTGGCTATAACTCTATAACAGACAGTTTCCCACCCACATTGGATTTCAAGGATTTGATTTGACGCAAGGAATCCTGCTGAAACGGTGTGGGGGCTGGCATAATTTTCTTCAAGCCTAGCCCTGCTCAGAGAACGGCCTCCGGTTTGCGAGGTTCACATCAAATGTCACACTAGCGTAGTAAGCGCGCATGGTTGCGCAGAAGCAGTGTCCTTGTGTATCGTACGTAGGCTCAGTTGCCGTTGCCATGCGCGACCCACATTCATTTGAATGTGCCACCCTATACACCTCCACCCTGCATAGCTTCCCTTGCTTTCTTGTAGGATGCGTCTAGCGCCCTGCCTATCCACAGCCTGGGGAGAGTGGACATTGGAGCACGTTTGCGGACCACAATTCCGGGAAACGAGGAGCGAAAATCGGGGAGTTGAGCTGTGCGAGTGTTGGCTCTTTTTCAGTCTGTGGACGGTCGACAATACTTTTGAGAACACCAGTGCCACCTACAAAGTTGTTACCATTTTTGCTGACTTCTCGAGGTGTAAACCTCAAGAGTTTGGTGGTACACGGTACACTTTGTAGGATGCAAGCTGCCGGGTGGAAGCTTGCGGACTCACACTCGATGAGGCAGCCAGGCGCATGGCGGAGGTGCCACCTGCAGTGTTTTTGCACTGGTTTGGTGCTTGTCGTTTCCGAGCCAGGATGGCCCAAATAAACTCACACCACCAGAGGTGGAAGCCTTATGGGTGAGATTTCTGAGGACTGACTGACTCCAGCGGTTTTTCATTATTTTGAGTGCATGTGCATGTTTTCTTGCAGGACGGCATTTGGTGGACTATTGAACATACTTCTATGGATTTGTGTGTTTGCTGAGGCGGGTTCCTTTTCGCGGGGTGTGGCAAGCACGTCCGGGGTTATATATATACCTAGAACCTGAATGACCTCTATTTTGGATCACCAACTGCCCAAAATAAGGTCTTTTCCTATCAAAACAGAGGTCAAATGGGCTCTAGGTATATAATATATAACTATAATACGTAAGTTTCAATGCAGATCAGTCTAGATGTATAGCATTTCTAGCATCACAGAATGCATGCGCAGCCCCTTTGTGTCAAGTAAAAAGTTCGCACGGTAGCGGAGCAAGGATAAGGGTAACCCCCCTTTGAGCTCCAAGGTTGTCCTTTGAGCCCTTACCTGTTCTTGCTAGTCATGACGTGCGTTGATGAAGATGTAAGATCTTGCTGTTCTGGTCACATAGCTGCTTCCCGGATTCCAGGGGTTCAATTTGACGCCGTCTATTGCGCAGATGACACAACCTTGTTCTCAACGGCGCCCAGAGGTCTCAATGAACTCCTTAAACACATGGAAATCTGTTCTAGTCACTATGGTTTTCGAATCAACAGAGCCAAGTGCCACGCTATCATTATGAACCGTGTTGCTAACATACGCTTTCATGATGGCAGCCGCCTGGACATAGCACAGCAGGCTACCTATCTAGGAAATAATCTCAATCACACTGTAGACCTCAGGAAAGAAGTCTCACAGCGCATCCGAGAGACGAAGCGCACATGGAACAGACCCTCCCTGTTTTGGAAGAAACCCACTACCAATAATACCTTTTGACTTTTTATTTATGATGCAGTGATCATAAGCAAATTGTTGTATAGCCTTGAAGCAATAGATTTGAGCCCATCGCTACGAAAAACAAAGTGGATGCCTTCCATTTGCGGGCGCTACGAAGAATTGAAAAATTGCCCACTACATGTATAGACAGGCGCAACACAAATACGAGGGTCTATGAACTTGCCTCTGAAGTTGCTTTTCCAAGCCACCAACAAAATTAGACCTCTTTTCTCAAGAGCTAGATGGGAGGCGAGTAAAGTTGGCCGGGCATATTTTAAGAGCGCAGGGCTCAGATCCTCTAAGACAGGTCTCATACCAAGCAGGCAGTGGGGACCCCATCCAGATCGGTAAACGTCGAGCTGGCCGGCCTAGACAACAATGGCTGTACAGGACTAATGAAACCATTCACAGCATTATTAGCCGCACAGCTTATGATGGTGACCCGGTTCAAAAAGGGCCAATTTTACAGGCAGCGCAGCAACGTATCGTATGAGTCCAAACATTTTTCGGGTTGCTCTATAGTAACGGGATGCATGGTTGAAGAAAAATAAGCTATTAGCTACCTGGCTAACCTACCTCACCTCTACTAGCAGCCTACTCCCCCAAAAAGAAGAATGGAGGGTATTTTGCAATTAGGTTGGGCCATTACAATTAGGTTGGATTAACGGCGCAGAGTGGCGAGCCTTGGGACCAGTTTTTGATTGCGTCTTTCAGCCTGGAACCGGACGCTGCGGCCCTCGAACCAGTTGCTGTTCTTTCAATCGATTATGTCAGATTATGCGTACATAGGAGCATACATACACAGGGGCCAGGGCTTGCGCTATGTCATAAGGTTGTTGTGAGAGCGTGGGGGTGACTTAGGTGGCAGTTTAACCGAAAGTGCAAAGCAGCCGTGTTCAAAGTTGCCCTGGGCAAAAAACATGGCAAAGCAGTGCCATAGACGAAATGGTTTGTTTGGGATGTGGCTTTTCACAGGCAAGCCTCACCTTCTCAGGGTCTCCCCGACAGTGTGGTCTTAGATCACGCTGCTCTCAAACACCAATCTGTGAGAACAACCGGTTCTGACAAAACAGCGCTCAGCAGAATCGTGCAACTCTCTGGCTTCGTCATGAGGTTGACGGGTAGATTGTTTTGTACGTCCTCTTTGGCTTTGGGAAAACCTTGTTTAGGGTCCCTCAGGCCTTCAGCTACAATTCTGTTTGACCCGGACTTGGAGCGTTCACGATTCGGGCGCGCAGGCGCTGTTTGCTTATAGTTTAGCAAGTTTAAAGTGGTTGTTCCAAACTATTCGTTGCGTGAAGGGCACGGCAAAGTTGTTCTTGTTTGTTATCAGGGGAGGTTTCGCTTGTGTGGAAACTGGATTCAGGTGTGGATAGAGTATGGAGGTGCCACATGACATTGGGTTGGTTAGTGAAACAGCTTGGTTGGAGATTCTAGTGTGTTGAACCTACAGCAGTGTTTTGTAACATGCTTGAGGCTGCAAGAGCTTTCCATGTCTCATGATTGAAATGCTTGTGATCCAGGTGATCTTACTGCTCGTCTATCCGGGCCAAAAAGACCTGGTGACGCCTGCAATTTTATCAGCCGTGATATTAATCACCGCCCTGTTGCAATTGTATACAGAGGTGAAGGCACTTTCGTCTATGGAAGCATTGCGGGACCTGCAAGTTGGAGAAGCGGTTCAAGTTGTGCGGATGGACGCTGCACAGCGATGTGATTTATCTGTGTCGGCAGAGGACCTGGTCAAAGGCGATGTTATTTTCTTGGACGCCGGGCAGCGAGTCCCAGCAGATGTGCGCATCATACATTGCAGCAGCTTGGAGGTTGATAATTCAACGCTCACTGGGGAGACGATGCCGGAATTGCGATCTTCTGCAGCCGAGCCAGCCAACATGCTCAGCACAGAGGCTGGGTCAAGGGAGAAAAGACAGAACCGTGGAATGCTGTGGGCATGTGCAAGAAGTCCGCATGGCGCCAAGGAGAGGTAGAATCATACCAGGAAGGGAGTCAAAGCTAGACAGAAGGGAACGCAGACACTTGAAACTTGATAACAGGGAAAAGTACAGTAGCAGTTAACGGTGTTGTTGATGGCGACCATGATGATGAGTATGATAATGATGATTATGAGCACAATGGTGCTAATGCCAAGACATATAAAGTGTAGATGTGATAATCTCAAGATATACCTGGGACACTCATGTCAACACTCTTGCAGGAACACTTTTGTACGACAATGTTAGGACACACTCGTGGGACCCTCTTGTAATGGCACACTTCGTGTACATGGCATGGGTGTGATCGTGACACAAATCGAGAAGTGTCACCGAACACCCTTTCAAAGCGTGGACCAAAAGGCCGCTCAAATGGTAGTGGAGCCGTGAAGGACATTTCATTCGCTCCAGGTGGGCCTTTCAAGGAGCCAGGACACAAAGCGTCAATAGCGTGATTGGTGATGGAGCTTGAAGCAATTGTGGGTGGTTGACAGCAAGTTCCCAGAATTTCAAAGGTTGGAGAGACGAGTGTAGATGACGTTCATTGGGAACTCTTTACGGTAGATGAGAAGGAGACTGGTTGGGCTTATCAAGAATGTTTCAGACTTCAACGGCTTTAAGGCCCGGAGCCGCACCATGAAATTGCTCCAACGGTTTATGGCATATCCCAGTTTCAACATGAAACTGTCAATGCTTCTCCAATGGCTGAAGCCCGAAGAGCACTTTGGGGAAAGCTGCCACAGGATATGCTCAACGAAGGCAGCTTGTATAACAAAATTAGAGAGGCAGCTTTGGCTTTTGACACTGCCGATGCTACTGTAAGTGGAATGACTCAGCTGCATTGAGCCTTTTCGAGCAAGCCCGAGTACCGCTGCAGGGCCCCAATGGAGGTTGACAGAGTTCAGAAAGGAGACAAAGGAAAGGGCAGAGGACAGACGAAAGATGGCAAAGGAGGTAAGGAAAGAGCAAAGGAGGCGAGCAGACTACAGGAAGCAAGAACGATGGCAAGGGCAAGAGCAGGAAAGAGGAAAGGGCAGGAATTTGACTGGGGTGTGCTGGACATGTGGCTGCCCAGGCCATCAGGCCATGCTGGAGAGTGAGACGCGTCGAGGCCCCAGCTTCAGTGGTGCCACCCAGCCATGCAACGGTATCGCCCAGCACCACGATGCAGACCACGGTGAAGGCGGTGAGACGAGTTTCACAGCCACTTGTCTTTGATTTGAGACAGGTGGAGGAGGCAGATGGTGGAGGAAGAAAAGGATGACCGAGCTCTACAGCATCACCACGGATGATGAGGAGGACGATGGTACAGTGCACGAGGTGTTTCGAGAAGTAGAGGAGGATGAGAAAGAAAAGGAGCAAGTAGAGGAGAAAGTTGCAGTGAGCAGCAGATGCCTCACTTTTTCCCAGGCACCATGCTCAAGACAGGACGTGGATGTGGACACCGAGCTCACAGAGCACGAGAGAAGCGTGATCCTCAGAGAAAGGGTGGCCTTCAGTGGTGCTGTGGCTCAGCCTTTTTTGTCATTTAAACGATCTGGTTGGTCCACCAGTGCCAGCCCAAACCTACAGTAGTCTATGGGGATGTTCGTGGGCCACTGGGCTTTCAAAACCAGAGCCTAGTCTAGTAACAGTAGTGAAGGGAGAAACCCGTACTATTGCTGCAGCAGGTGTGTGGGGACACTGAAGGTGAGGTTGAACGAGAGAATTCAGAAGGTAGCCGAGGAGCAGGTCGGAATGGAAGAAGTTTGGAGAACAGTGGATTGGTTTGCATCGCAGCCGGAACTTCCAGAGTCCCCAATTCATCCCAGGTATGAGGGCAGCTCCGAGTAAGACACTTGTAAGACACTCTCGCTTGACATTTGTGAGACAGTTGTAACACACTGCAGGTCACTCTTGTTGAACAGTCTTGAAAGACATTCTTGTTGGACACTCTCCGCCGTAGGACATTCTTCTGGGAAACCGTCACTCATTCCGCTCACCAGCGGCATGCCGGGTTTCCACACGCATGCTTCCTGTTCCCCAATGGCACAGAGCCACGAAAAATCGCGCTTTCCACAGGCCACGCAAACCGTGTGGCGCAGCGACATCGCAGGCGTAATTTTGCCACACTGTGTGCCACACTTACGTGCAACAATGTAACACCAAGCCTTTGTTGACCGTGCAAAACATCCCGCTCACTAGCAGCGCAACGCGTTGTTTGTGCACGCGTGACTCCGGTTCTCCAAAGGCACGGAGAAAGACGCAGTTTCCGCCGAGGCCGCGCAAAAGCCGCATGTCACAGCGGCATCCCAGACGTAATTTCGCCACTTGACGCCGCCAACCACCCTGCTCGCCAGCAGCACGCGGCGTCGCGCACGCACGTTTCCCATTCCCTGATGGCGCTGGCCCACACAAACCGCGTGGGACAGGAACGTTGCAGACATACTTTCTACAACGCTACTTCCCGTACTACACTTGTACTACAGTGTCGCCACAGTTCTGAGCCTGAATTCTAGTTGAGAGGTCTGTAAGTGTTGTGGACCTTGCCAAAAGTGCGCAACCGTCGTCAAAAAATCAAGGTGTGTAGCTGTCGTCGAATAAGATGAAAATCGAAGTTGACAAAGTGTCTACCTAATTCTCGGCGAAAATCAAGGTGGCGGAAGTCACTGAAATACGTAACGGTCGCTGACCCTGGTATCAGACCTGGCAACTTGTAGTGCAAATGTACACTCAGCACCCGAGTGGGACGGCTGAGCGAAACACACTCTGACAATTGTATTCAGTTAACTCAGTTCCCCAAGGAAAGGAATGGCTCAACGGCAGAGTCCGATCAATTGTAAATGTTTGAACAAGTGGTTTGCGCGCATCTGCAGACTCGCGACAGCAGCGGACGAGCGGCGGACGGCAGCTGAAAGGCGGCTGTGGGAGAAGCTGTTTGTGGGGAAGGTATCGTGCGAAACCACCATGGAAAAAAACAAAGAAAGAGTGGAGTCACAGCTTGAAATCGTCGCTCTGTCCCCCTGCGGGTGAAACTGTGGTTAAAAAGTGGTGGGTGAAGTGGCGGTAGTAAACCCTTGGCCCAGGGGTTGACACACACACAGACAGAGACTCATACACACACAGACATAGATACAAACACACAGAGACCCACACACTGCCTCAACTCACTCGACTTGGCACTTCACACTGCACACTTAACAGATAACTCACACTCTGACTTCCTACGTGATGAAAAATGCTTTTGGGCCACTCGTCGTCTAGCTTGTTTTTAGTGTTGTATCCGCGCCGCACTCCTCCTCCTCCTCCCACCTCCCGCTTACCACCAACCAACTGCCACCAACCAACTGCCACCCACCAATTGTCACCAACCAAGTGCCACCAGCCAATTGCCACCCACCAATTGCCACCAACTAATTGCCACCAACCAATTGTCACAACCAATTGCTACCAACCAGACTTCCACCAACCAATTGCCGCCAACGAGTTGCCACCAACCAATTGTCATCAACCAATTGTCATCAACCAATTGCCACCTACCAATTGTCACCAACCAATTGCCACCCACCAATTAATTGCTACCAACCAATTGTCACCAACCAATTGCCACCGACCAATTGTCACCAGCCAATTGCTACCAACCAGTTGTCACCAACCAATTGCCACCCACCAATTGCTACCAACCACTTGCCACCAACCAATCGTCACCAACCAATTGCTACGAGGTACCAACCAATTGTCACCAACCAATTGTCATCAACCAATTGTCATCAACCAATTGCCACCCACCAATTGCCACCAACCAATTGCCACCCACCAATTGCCGCCCGCCAATTGCTAATAACCAATCTCTCCAGGGGGTCGGATGCACGCCCTGGTGTCGCCCTGGCGTCGCTGCGCCGCTGTGATTTGCGCGGCAGGTGCAGCACTTTGGTGTTCTCCAGCGGGTCGGATGTACGCCCTGGCGTGGCCCTGGTCGCCCTGGCGTTGCTGGGTCTCCGCCGCTGCGCCGCTGTGATTTGCGTGGCAGGCGCAGCGCGTTGGTGTTCTCCATGGGGTCGGATGTACGCCCTAGCGCCGCCCTGGATGTACGCCGTGGCATCTGTGGGTCGCCGCGGCTGGCCATCAACCAACTGCCACCAACCATTGCCACCCACCAAGTGCCACCAACAAATTGTCACCAACCAATTGCCACCAACCAATTGTCACCAACCAATTGCCACCAACCAATTGTCACCAACCAATTGCCACCAACCAACTGCCACCAAACGGTTGCTACCAACCAATTGTCACCAACCAACTACCACCAACAAATTGCCACCAACCAGTTGTCCCCAGCCAAATTGCCACCAACCGATTGTCACCAAGCAATTGCCACCAACCAATTGCCACCAATCAATTGCCACCAACCAAATGTCACCAACCAACTGCCACCAACTAATTGTCCGCTGCTGTGTTTGTTGAAGTTGCTACAGTTAACATGTGGAGTTATCCGGCCCTATAATTTTGCACTCTTGTTTCTGCGCATACGATGCGCTCAGCTGAACATCTGCCGAAGATCTGGCGACCTTGGCTTGGGGCAGGCCTCACGTAGTTTCTTTGCGAGGCCCGCGCGCCCTTCCTCAACGCGGCCTTTGACCAAGCATCGGGCTCATTCTGCCAGTTGTCCCTGGCGGATCACGACATGGGAGGAGTTTCCCACATCCCAGGATCAAGCGGGCCGCTTTGGCAAAGACCGCCCGCAAACTCATTGAAGGAGGCTTCATTTGCCCTGGCCAAGATGTGGGCCTTGCAGCGGCTGCACTTCAGATAGTCTCCATCAAGCCGAAGGAGATGAGTGCCCACCGGCGGGGTGCCTTGCTGCTGGATGAGGTCATTGATACCCTCCATCCTGGGCCTTCTGGTGGATCTCTGAGAAGGTGCCAGGCGGCATGCGCATTCTCTTTGAGCTCCGCAAGCAAGGACTTGATGTGGATCTTGGCCTTGCGTTGTGAGCATTGTGCCATTTGATCTCTTCTTTGAACTTGTGCTCCAGGAGAGGCCAAGGGTCTTCCAAAGCCAGTTCACAATCAGATATGCTAGCATAGCCGCATAGCCCTTCCTCTTCCATCTCTGGCCATTCAGGTTCTCCAGGGACCATAGCCGGTGTCAAGTCTGCGATCTAGCTGAGAAAGCCCAGTGTCAGCCGGCCCATCGTTGCAAACCCCATTCAAAATTGTCTTACTCCCTCAAAGCGCACATCACACTCATCTGCGGAGAGGTTACCCACAAGACGTGTTGTATTCCGGCGAGTGTAGCTTCTGGAAGGGCTCACAGCTGGCAACGACTGTTACATGGGAAGCAGCTTCTGGGCCCTCTGGGGGGGCCCTAGCCTTGGGCGACCCCCACCTTGATCTAGTCTTAGAATTCTCGCCGCCAGTTACACACTTTGGAAACTTCCACCTGGGTCTGATTTTTGACGGCAGTCGTGACTTTTGCAACTTCACAATTCAATTTCGACGAGGGTTATGCCCTTTTGCAACACTTCCGCCTTGATTTTCACGACATTTACACATGCGCGGGGGTTCGCCGAAAAGGGATTGACGTGAGCGAGAACTCGCAGAATGGCCCCTCGCGTTTGAAATCACCTCACGTTTGAGCGCTCAACGCACACACACACACACGACCCCCGCAACGGGTCACTCAAGGCAGAGGACGGTTCGCATATTTTCGCGCATCCGACGTGTGCGACGTCGCAGTGGGTATCGGCGCTGCCTCGAGAGAAGATGTCGAAGTTGCAGTTGCCTAGTAACTGGGTTTTGTAAGTGTCCTCACTTATGTCTCAGCACTTGTTTCCAAACGCGGGAACCGAAACACCTGTATCCATGTATGTGTGTTATAGCGGCTGGACCCCAACACCTTTTTCCCAACGCCGCATCTCTTCACCTGTATGGTGATAATTAGACATGATGATGATGGTGATGATGCTGATGCTGATGATGTAGGTGTGTTGTATCAGTCTCTACACTTGTACGATGATGGTATTGAATGATGATGCTCATGATGCTGACGCTCAGGTTGGTACTGACAATGATGATGATGGTGAAGACTATTCTACTGATTCTTTTGTTGGTGCAGGCGCTGAGGCTGCTGCTGAGAACGACCATGCTGAGAACGATGATGCTGATTGACCGTGCTGATGACGAAGAAGGTGATACTGACGATGATGTTGGTTGTTGGACAGTTGATTTTGGCAGCCGTTCTTTACGGAGAACCCTTGGACGGACAACAGCAACAAGACGAGACGAGCTAGTGTTCAAGATAGTCTGCCCGATTTGATTTTGGCCCAGGCGCGGTGTCTCGCGTTCTCGGGTACTTCAATTCTAAAGGGATCAGCAACCTGTGTGGTGTATGCCACTGGAGATCGTACATTCCTAGGCGCGACGGAGCTGTGCTTTGCTTCTTTCTGGCGCCCTTTCGGCCCTAATCAGCTACCAATTATATAATGTGTCTCAGGGCAAATTGCCAGCACGATGAAAAGCCGTCCACCCAAATCATCTCTAGAAATCCAGATTGAACACTTTGCTCCAGTCTTAATCTGTCTGTCGGTTCCGCGATTCTTGTTTGAAATTAATCCGGGGCTTGAGACTAATGTTTCGGTTTTGACGGCGGCTGAGGTTCACACAATTGCCCGAGTAGCTCTGGGAGTTACAGGGTTGGTTCTTCTAAGCGACTTGCCGCGTTCCCAGAAGATGACTATAGAAGTTTCTTTATCCGGTAGTTTTGTTCCCCAGATAGCGAAGCTATGGGGTTCTTACTTCAAATAACAATGAGTTGCCCGCGCGCTTTCGAGACAGGTTGCTGGTGCTGGGCGCCGGCGCCGGCGCTGGGGCTGTGAGCTGGCTGTGCGCGTGGTGGAGACAGGTTGCTGGCGCCGGTGCTGGTGCTGGTGCCGGATGCCGGTGCTGGTGCTGTGAGCTGGCCGTGCACGCTGGTGCTGTGGGCTGGCTGTGCACGTGGTGGAGACAGGTTGCTGGCGCCGGTGCTGGTGCTGGGTGCTGGGATCGTGCGTGTCCAGGCCGCGAAATGCAGGTGAGATTCGGTATTGGATCTGTCCATGCTGCGCAACCCTCTGCGGAGATCGTGCATGTCGAGGGCGCAAAATGCAGGTGAGATTGCGTGTTGGATTTGACGCGCGCAACCCTCTGCGGAGATCGTGCGTGTCGAGGGTGCGAAATGCAGGTGAGATTGCGTTTTATTGTATGCTTGGAAGGTTGCGCGCGCGCCAATGGCTTATATATATATATATTCATAGTTTTTGTGGCGCAGAATGCGGGTAAGGCTTTTCAGTTTTTGAGAAGTCTTGTGGAAAATACTCGGTTGTCGAGGTTTCATTCTCACTTTTTGCGAATGTCTCATGCAAAACGCTCGTTTTGGAAGCCTCGGTACCAAGCTTTTCTTTTTTTCACTACTGTATTTTGTGGAAACTGTTCATACAACATTGTGATCGTATACCTCTTTGACGGCATGTCAGCTTGAGAGAATGTTGGATGTCATTTACAAAAGCATTGCGGTACCGAGCTTTTGTATGAATATATATATATATGGATCTTTTCATATGAAATGGTCTTAGCATTTGCCTTTGGTACGGAGCTTCTTTTGCAGACTTACATGGTAATTTTTCTTTTTTTACGGCATGTTGGTACCGAGCTTTTTTGAGCAAGCTCTGGCGACGATGTTTGGCTTGAGAGAGTGTTAGATGTTATTTACAAAAACCTCGTGGCGCTGAGCTTTTAGCTTTATATGTATGGAGATTTTCACATAAAATTGCATGGTCTCTGCCTTTGAAGGCATTTTGGTACCAATGCATCAGGCACCAAAAATCGATTTCATGTCACATCCTTCGCTCCTCATGCTTCTATTTCTTGTCCTCACGTGGTCAGCTCCTTGCTGATTGAGCAGCATGACCATCATCATGTTCGCACTTGAAGAATAATTCCCCAAAAGGTTTACTGTCAGGGCTTCTCAATTCTTTCTTAAGATGTGTCCGCCCGCTCTGTTCTGCTGTGTCCGTCTCTGCCTTGCAATCCTTTACGTTCGTCTCCCAGCTCTGGGCTGCTGTGGCCGCCTCTGCCTTGCAATCCTTTGTCTCCCAGCTCTGGACGTCGCAAGCTCTAGTTTCGATTTTGAAAAACACAAACTGTTTGGGGTCTACGGTGGTGTAATTACCTGTAACAGTGTGTAAACAACTATCAATTATCACTATTTTAGAGAGTGGCCTTTTCCAGCTTACAAACCATCATCATCATCATCATCATCCACAGAAGGTGCCCTTACCACCCTATCTTCTGTTTCCGTTTACTTTGGTGGGCCAAGCAGTTGCGTTGGTGTGGGCTGAACTGTCCTTGCTCTACTCGTATTACCTTTGCGCAATTGTACTTAGATTTCTCAGTCGCAACAGAATCAATTGCTCCAGTCAACATGGCCCCCGGAAAAGCTCGCTCTTGGAAAGGGTTCTCTTTAGATTACAAGATGTTTCCAAAGAAGCTCCTCAGACCTTGGCGGCACAGTCAAAAATTTTCATTCTCTGTCTCAAGTGGCTACATGCCCAAGGCGTGTATCCTTTTGGCCATGACCGGGAAAAGATGGATCGCGCAGATGAGCTTAACTGGATTGGCGTCAGAGGCTGGTTTCCTGCCCTTAAGGGGAGACCGAAACTGGCTTCTGGCTTCGGTTCAGCTTTAGCCCTTGATGCCTACCTCAAACAGGCTTCACCGCCTTCCCGCCATTTCAACCTACATTGGCGTGTTTCTGGTGTGCCCGTGCCACAACACCCCGACTCTTTGAATTTGTCTTTCGATCAGATCGTGCGTTGCATTTTGGACCAGCAGCAATGAAGTTTACTTCGTGCATTTGAGCATTGTCTTCTCATGGAAGAATTGGTCCGTTTGCTTGCCGGCCTTGCATTGCCCGGCATTCGTTTTCCAATTTGTAGTTACGAAAGCCAGCCTTCGTAGAAGGCGCCAGCTGAGTTGTGCTTGGCGAACGAAGTGAGTAGGTAGGGGGTGGGGGGGGTGGCCCCAGAAAGGTACACGTAAACTCGGCGCATGCTGGGGGAGGAGGGTGCACGGATGGAAGGTTTTGGAGGTTGTTTTGGGGGTGTTTGGTGATTTTGGAGCGGGTGGTGACGCAAGAAATGCTTTTTTGTTTTTGCATCATCTGAATGTGGATGGTTTTTCAAGGGTTATCTAGCGGCTTGGGGGGAGGGGGGTTGAAGTGCTTTTCCATGCAACTGAATTGTAGTTACCTTGGGTCCGTATAAATGCTATGGTGCCACGCTTCCGACACACCTATATAAGTTCAAAGCACTAATGAGACTGGAGAGGGAAGTTGAAGTGCAACATCATTGGATCATTGGATATTCGATCGCAATCCCGCTATCCTTTTGCTGGGCAAGAGATTGCGACTCCCTGAAAGAATCATGATGACTGTACATGGACAAGAGGCCCCTCCTAAAAAGACTCATTTCCGCTACAACAAGGTCGATGTTTGGATGGAGTTTCAGTGTTTTTCCTATTTGCATGGACCGTTTTCCGCTGCCCTGGGTCCGCGCGCGTGCGCGCGCCCTCCTCTACGGTAGAGTGGGCGCCAACAAGGCACGCGCGCGCGCGCGCGCGGACCCAGGGTGTTACTGCAAGGAGGCGCCGCCCCGACAAAGTTGACAAAATCGCTGTTCCTGACGCCCCTCGTTCCAAGGTGCCGCTCGTGACAAAATTACGCTGGCTTTCGTTTTGCAGCTTCTCAGGTTAGTTCCCATTTGGCTGTTGGTACGTGAACACTGACCAACTGTCTGGAAGTGAAGACCACTCCACTCCACTTCGTTAAGATGCAAAGCGGTACAAAATCCACAGTTACTGGTAATGGGATAGGCCCTAAATTATAGGACCGGATAACCCCACATGTGAACAACTTCGAAAGATTGAGGCTGCAGGGGTAAAGCGCGGAAGAGTGAGCGTGGGGAAGAGACAGGCGAAACAGATATAAGGCGTGAGGGTTGTACGTGAGGTGTGTGTGTGTGTGTTTGTGTGTATGCGCTTGTTCGTCAGTGTGTATCAGTGGGTGGGTGGATGTATGCTGCTTGGGGCTTGTACTAAAGTTGTACTAGAAAGTTGCCAGTTCTCATCTTCCAGCTCCCCAGATACTCCGCGTACTAAAGTTGTACTACAAAGTCGCCAGTTCTCAGCTTCCAGCTCCAAAGATTGCTCCGCGTACTAAGGTTGTACTACAAAGTCGCCAGTTCTCATCTTTCAGCTTCGCAGATACTCCGCGTACTAAAGTTGTACTACAAAGTCGCCAGTTCTCAGCTTCCAGCTCCGCAGATACTCCGCGCACTAAAGTTGTACTACAAAGTCGCCAGTTCTCAGCTTTCAGCTCCACAGATTGCTCCGCGGACTGTACTACAAAGTCGCCAGTTCTCAGCTTCCAGCTCCCCAGATTGCTCCGCGTACTAAAGTTGTACTACAACGTCGCCAGTTCTCAGCTTCCAGCTCCGCAGATACTCCGCGCACTAAAGTTGTACTACAAAGTCGCCAGTTCTCAGCTTCCAGCTCCACAGATACTCCGCGCACTAAAGTTGTACCACAAAGTCGCCAGTTCTCAGCTTCCAGCTCCCCAGATTGCTCCGCGTACTAAGGTTGTACTACAAAGTCGCCAGTTCTCAGCTTCCAGCTCCCCAGATTGCTCCGCGGACTGTACTACAAAGTCGCCAGTTCTCATCTTCCAGCTCCCCAGATACTCCGCGTACTAAAGTTGTACCACAAAGTCGCCAGTTCTCAGCTTCCAGCTCCCCAGATACTCCGCGTACTAAAGTTGTACTACAAAGTCGCCAGTTCTCAGCTTCCAGCTCCCCAGATTGCACCGCGTACTAAAGTTGTACTACAAAGTCGCCAGTCCTCAGCTTCCAGCTCCACAGATTGCTCTGCTTACTAAAGTTGTACTACAAAGTCACCAGTTCTCATCTTCCCACTCCCCAGCTACTCCGCATACTAAAGTTGTACTACCAAGTCGCCAGTCCTCAGCTTCCAGCTCGCCAGATACTCCGCGTACTAAAGTTGTACTACAAAGTCGCCAGTTCTCATCTTCCAGCTCCCCAGATACTCCGCGTACTAAAGTTGCACTACAAAGTCGCCAGTTCTCA